TGTGGGAAGGAATTGAGAGAATACAGCGGAAAAGGGGGCAGCCCCAGACACAGACTCGGCAGCAGCACTTCCAGGCTAGATTCCATGGAGATTTGGGACGATGCCTCCTGGACGTTCAGGGCATGACCTGAGCACCCAGGATGCTTTGCTTCCTTCGCACCTCATCTTCTCATGCCCCGAGGGAGAATCTGATGGAGTGTCTGTCACTGTCCAATGTGGAGCCTCCCTTTTAGACAGAGATTTGGGCGGAGGCAGCTCTCAGGCAGGTGGCTTCCCCCCGCCAACCTAGCCCCGTTTCCTTGTCTGACCCCTGGCCCAGGCAGTGGCCGGATTACACAGAGGATTTCCCTCTCGGTCACAACATGACTTCACTTCTCTTCCCTCCTGGGTGGGAAGATTTTCCCTAGAAGGAAGTTGTAGGTCTGGCAGGCACTGAGCACTTCCTAAGCCTTAGGAAAGAAAATGTAATAGTAACAGCTAACACCTATTGAGCACTGATGATGAGCCAAGCACAGTTGTGAACAGATTAACTCATTTTCTCCCGTAACAACCTTTGAGATCGGTACCATTATTATCCTCACCTACAGGTGGGCAAGCTGATGGACAAAGAGCTTAGGCAACTTTCCCAGGGCCAAATAGCCAGCATGTAGCCAAGCCTTCTTGTCATTGGAGGATTAAGTGAGCTTCCAGATGTGGAAAACCCCAGAATATGGGTAGGCGCTTTAAAAATGAGTGGAAAAACCCAGAATATGGGTAGGCGCTTTAAACATTTTATGGATTCCGAAGCCAGTGGCTTTTCATTATTTGGGCGAACGCTGTGCCGATGGAGCTGGCTCCAGGGTCGGATTGCCAGATAAAATGCAGGATTCCCAGTTGAATTTCAATTTCAGATCAACAGCAAATAATTGTTTTGTTTTTACATCCTTATACTAAAATAGTTACCTGTTGACCTGAAGTTCAGGTTTAACCAGGCATTCTGTATTCTCATTTGCTAAATCTGGCAACCTTATTCCAAGCGCCTGCTCCCCGTGACCCCTGCAGGGCTGATTTTCAGTGCCCTGCCCCCGCACAGAGCTGGTGGGGTGGGGAGCACAGGGGTGGGAATGGGGTGGAAAAGGAAGGAGGGAATGGGTAACTACTGAGCACCCAGCGCGTGCCAGGCAGCTCCGGGCTGCTGCTTCATTTCTACTTTGCAAATAAGGAAACTGAGGCTTGGAGGGAGTCTATCATTTGTTGTGTAAGGTTGTAAGCAAAGGCACTGTTCTCTCCACAGTAGCAGTTTGCTGTTGGGAGTCAGGACTCTAGCTCGGGTCCTGCCCTAGCAAGGAATCTAGCTCTCCTCCCTGCCCAGCTCTTTTTCCTTTTCTCTTCCCTTTTGGAATTTTTTTAATCTATTTTTTTAAATCCTCACCGAGGATATGTTTTTATTGACGTTAGAGAGAGGGAGGAAAGGAGGGGGGGAGAGAGGGAGAGAGAGAGAGAGAGAGAGAGAGAAACTTTGATGTTTTGTGTTGGGAGAGGGGGAGGTAAAGGGGGGGGGGGAGAGAGAGAGAGAGAGAGAGAGAGAGAGAGAGAGAGAGAGAGAAACTTTGATGTGAGAGAGAAACATCAATCAATTGCCTCCCGTACCCACCCCAACCAGGGATCAAACCCAAAACCTGGGTATGTGCCCTTACCAGGAATCCAACCAAAGACCTTTGGTGTACGGGGTGATGCTCCAATCAACCGATCCACACCAGTCAGGGCCCCTTTTAGATTTTAGATGAATGGTGTGGGGTACAATGCCAGGTGCTATGGTGGCCTGGGGGTTGCCATGGAAACAAGCCAGGCATTTGGGATGGGGCCTGCCTGCTCCAAAGACACAAATCTGGAAGAAGACAGGGAACAGAACTCAGACTGCTGGCCCCGCAGTTCCTTCCTTTCTGGCAGGCACACCGACAACCTACCACCCTGCTCGCCCGCAAGGAAAATTGGTCATTTTCTCCCAATTCCTGTTCCTAGTTGTCTCCCTACTCCCTGCCCACCCCTCAGCTGCACAGAGGATTTTTATCCTTTTATCCTTCGCGCTGTCACCTTCACTGACCACGTAGTGTGAGAGAATTGCCCCCCTCCCTGTTCCCTGTCTTTGGGGTGAGGAGCACCCTAGCTGCAAAGGCTGAAGGAGCTGCTTCACAGTTTTCTAGGAGCCTGAAGGTTGGGGGTGGGGAGAGGGAGTCTGGGGTTGGTTAGGCCAGCCCCTCACCCCCACCCCCACCCAGTACCCAATGCACTAGAAGTGCCAGTGGCAGCGCTTCTGGACGCCAGGCCTCCCCTCCCTTCGAATCCTTCCCTCTCCCCTCCCCGAGGGTTGGTAACTGCCTGGGAGGGGTTGGGTGGCTGCCAGGCCAAACAGGCCCAGGAGGCAGCATTGCCTTGAATGGAGCTTGGCTCAGGGGTGGGAGAAGGGACATTCCCCTCCCCCACTTCCACAGGGGGTGGGGAGAGGGAAAGGGTGCTCAACCCCTCTGCCCTCTATGACCCTCCTTCCATCCAGAGAACGCAAGCTCTCACAGAGCCCCTGCTCTGACCCAGAGGAGTGACGTGCAGGCACATTTATAAGCCTCGAGTCTTAGCAAATGTGTCTGCTTACCCACGCAGAATGGAAAATGCACTGAATTAGGTGTCAGGGCCTGGGCTCCTACTCAGTGTGTGACCCTGGGGGCAGTTCCTCCCCTGGTCTCAGAGCCCCAAATAGGGGAGAGGTTGACTAAGGAGATGGCTGAACCCCCACGACTTCACTCCTCTTGCCAGGACCTCCCTGGGACAAAGGGGCAGGAGGTCTGGACCTTCAACTGCCCCGCCCTCAAGGGGAGAGGGGGCTGTGCCCACTCACCTGGTGTCCCAGCATAGTCCAACCTGCCCTGCCCGCTGTCACCCAGGCCCCAGGGATTTGGTCCATTTGGGAAACTGAGGCCCAAAAGACATGACTCTGTGTGCTCCTGAGCCCAGAGTCCTGCCTCCAAGCAGTGAGTCTCCCGCCCGGGTCACAGTCCCTGAGCGTGCAGGGCTCAGAAATAGCTCAGGAAAACTCAGAGTTTGGGCCTTCGAAGCACCCTGGTCCTGGTCCTGGGCGTGTGTGAGCTGGCACTGGACCCAGACTAGCTGACCTGGGGCTCCACCAGAGACCCGAGTCTCAACCCTCAGGGAGGAACTCTGCGGTTCTGGGCAGAGGAACAGAAACGCTTAACTGAGTGGAGATGGAGAAATTGCTCTCGGTCAGTGACAAAACACACCCTTTGTTCTTATTTGTTTTCACCTCAGAGCCCTCGGAGTCCCTGAGGAAGTGAGCCGGAGGGCCAGGGATCAGGGAGGGACCTCAAATAAATGGGTCTTGTGATGGCTACTCAGGACAGGCCCCAGGCACTAGGAAGGGAGGCAGCAGGAGGGTGTGAGGGCTGGAGAGGGGGAGGGGGCAGGGAGGGCAGGGAGGGCTGTGACCCTGTGGCTCTACCTCTCCTCCACCCGGCACAGTTGTCAGGGGCTGGGATGTGCCGCCAGCAGGAGGCACAGAGTGGATTTCCAGGCTCGGCCCAGGCTGCGCGGAAGGAGACCCCAGACCAGAGGGTCCCCCGGGTGGGGGTTTTCCTGGGCAGAGGCTGCATCTCCCCCATTCTATTTTGGAGGCTGACGCAGCTGGGTCAAGGTCCTAAGGGACCTCCTTAGGCCAACCCAGGAGCCTGGGACTCTCCAGGACAGGGTAGGCCCATCTGTCTGAGAGCGGGGTCTCCCCAGCCAAATGAGGGCCTTCCCAAGGCAAGGGCTATGTCTTCCCAGCCAGCTCACGGGCTCCTGGGGGAAGGCCTATCTCCCTATCTTACATGCTGCCCGGGGACCAGCCCCAGGCTCTGATGTGGCCTCTCTGGGTGGCAGGCAACAAGTGGTACAAGCAACACCTCTCCTACCGCCTGGTGAACTGGCCCCAGCACCTGCCCGAGCCTGCAGTTCGGGGGGCCGTGCGTGCCGCCTTCCAGCTGTGGAGCAACGTCTCGGCGCTGGAGTTCTGGGAGGCCCCAGCCACAGGCCCGGCCGACATCCGCCTCACCTTCTTCCAAGGGGACCACAATGACGGGCTGAGCAACGCCTTCGACGGCCCAGGTGCTGGCAGCCTCTCTCTCACATGGCAGGAGGGGGACCCCCCGCTAGGAGAGGCCGCCTGTCGGGGGCAATGGAGCATTCGCTCTCCCTGTGGCCTTGCCCAAGCTGCATCGCCCTCCAAAGAGCCCTCAGGCTCCTCATCTATCACATGGGAACAGGACCTGCCCGATTTTGTGCCATGTGGCTGTTGGGATGGTCAGATGAGGTTCTGCAGGGAAGGTGCCTTGCAAACTCTAAAGAGCATTATCCTTTCGGGGAGAACCTTCTGAAGTCCCGTCATCCATCCCCTGCCTCTAGACAAGCCCGTGCCTCGCCTGTTCTCCAGACCAGGGTCCTAAAAACATGCCGAGGCCACCACTGCCCCCCTCTCCCCAAGCCCCTGTCACAGTCACTGCCTCAGAGCAAGAGGCATTCTACCTGCTACAGAAGCTCTTCATATGCCCACCGCCCAGACGGGTCTCCTGTTGGCCCCCAACCTGAAGTCTTCGAGCTGTGGTTTACACTGCTGTCCCCCCATTCTGCCCAACACTGGCCTGCAGAGCCTGCGTGCAGGCTATCTCTGCATTCTCCCAATGCCTCCCCCTGCCCGCCGCCAGTGGCTAAGGAGTCAGGAAACCTGATCAAACCGCTTCAGGTGGGGACTTAAGCCCTGCGTGGCCTCAGAACTTGGGCCCCTACTCCCTTGCACTCTCTTCCTTTCCAACAATTCCACTCAGAGCAAAGCCACTTCCAGGCCCTGCTGCCTGGACCAGGGTAGGGCTGGTAGAAATCTAGGCTTTTTGAGAATCCACCTGTAGAACACACACATGCTTGCATATAATTCATTTCATCCATGATAGCCACATGAGATGTTTCTGTCCGTCCCCAGGTGCAGTCTGGTAGCTACGACAGCGCTAGACTGGGAGGCAGCTCTCTGATGTGGGGCAGGTGCTTTATCTTGTTGAGTTTAGTCACAAACCTCCCCATCAGTCTCCCAAGATCATTGCAAGAGTTGCATGGAAAGGCGAACATTGCTCAGAACCGTTCAGAGCACATTCAAAATAGGGAGGCATGTGCCCTTCCTACACGGGCCATCTCTCCATGCCCCACGAGGCTCTCCCTAACATTAGCCTCCCGACCTGTGTCCGTCCCAGTTGGGCCGGGCTCCAAGACGGCAGCACTGGCAGGACCCTGCACAGGCTTCTAGACCAACATTATCACAGTGCGGTTTCCTGCCCCTGCCCCTGCAGAAAGTGACTTGTGAGGGTGGGGCCCTGGGAACCGCATGGCTGATAAGCTAAATCTGGGGCACCCTACGCTTGAGCATCACTAGTCCAGCCCAATTCCTTCTGCTCACTCCTGTTCTAGCAGGCAGGTAGAGACCCACAGCGGGGCCCTGGCAGAGGGAAGGCGAGGACACAAGAATACACACACTTTTTTTTTTCCAAAGAGAGGAAGGGAGAGGGAGACAGAGAGAGAAACATCAATGATAAGAGAGAATCACTGATTGGCTGCCTCCTGCACACCCCCTACTTGGAACCAAGCCCACAACCCATGCTTATGCCCTGACTGGGTATCGAACCATGATCTCCTGGTTCATGGGTTGGTGCTCAACCACCAGCCAGGCAAGAATACATATACTTTTTATTAAAGAAACTATGCATACACATAAACACACCCAGTGCCCAGATCAAAAAACATTACCAACACCCCACCCGGTCCCATCGTGCTCCATTCTGGGATAACCACCGTACCTACTCCAAGACCTGTTAAAAAGGAATTCCTATATAGCATTTATCATATGCTATGCACTGGGCGTATGGAACACAGACACACACACACACACCTCTTTTTAATCCGCAGAAAAACTCTGTGAGGAAGAACTTCATGGTCATCACTCCTGATTTCAGGTCGGGAAGATCAGGCACAGAGGGGTTGAGAGACCTGCCCAGGGTCACTCCGCTAGTAAATGGGAAAACCAGGGTTGGCACCCAGGCAGTTTGACCCCAAGCAGTATGTGCACCGCTCTGCCCCCTAGCGTCCATACGCCACAGCTGTCCTGTGGTCACCGCTCCACACTTCAGCCTCTGCGGACTGAACTGGGAGGGCAATTAAGCAACAGAAAACAGCCGCACACTCAATGGCATGGGCGGTGGGCGGTGGGCACGCGGGGCGTCGCGGGCGGGGGCGCCCCCTGACTCTCCGCGCCGCCTGCAGGGGGCGCCCTGGCGCACGCC